TCCTCACCGTTGTCTCTGTGGCACATCTCAACTGCTGACCCCGACCTGGCCGCAGAGCCATATGCGTGGTCCCTCTATAGCACGGAAGAACCTGAGCCTGTGCTTGCCACTAGAGTGCGTGACTGTGCCTTTCTGACCGAAAAACAGATCACTGAAAGACCCAGATAGTTTGCAACAGGTGACTGGGTCTGCAACAATATAAATGGGAGGCTTGCACAAATCAGGAGTAGACCAGACGGTGTCAGTTGAAATTCCGCTATGTGCTTTTAACTCCAACTCATTTTTTTCCCAAGGGCCATGCTCGCGTTAAGTATTCTACTGCCTTGGTCATGCAACATACGCTTAACGACAATGATTTGACACTATCAAGTGAGCACGGATCGTGTCCAAAACTGATCCAGTAGCCGATGTAGATCTTCCTGTAACGAGGCGGGCCTGTTATAAGCTGGTCTTATAGAAATACAGACCTCCCTTTTGCACACTAGTACTCCGCGGAGAGGCTTTATGAGGTTCCTCTTATGGACATTGATAGACTTGTGCATAAGAGAAGCACCGAGTAAGCCTAGCCAATCCCAGCCACAAAAGTTCCAGAACTCGTGACCATATCACGAACAAAACACCTTATATAGTCCAGGGCGGAAACGATCCAATCCAATCCGATCCGGACCGGTCTTCCCCAGTTCAAGTCAACTGGAGCTCACCCCCTCCCCTGGTTCTTGCTGCGAGTGTGAGAGTCTATTTCCCATCGTCTCGGCTTACATAACCCACGAAGGGCGCACGTTGCCCCCCCCGGGGGTTCCTGATACCGAAGGGAAGCGACGGAAGCGACGGAAGCGACGGAAGCGACGGAAGCGACGGAAGGCGACTCCCTGCCCGCTTCCGAGGGGAGGCGGGCTTCTTTTTACTGATTCACTTACTTCTTTCGTATTGACCAGCCTACCGGGGGCCTGGCTATCGCGGGCCATTGGATTCTATTCTATTTATTTAGAGAGCACGGGACCAGTGGTTTTCCCCGGATTGTAGGGTAGCGGTAGGTGTTGGGCTGTGCTGGCGCAGTTCTAGGAATGGGGAATTGGGTAGAGAAGAGGATAGGAGAGATGGTACTGATAATGATGATCATACTGATACTGATGAAGGATATTGTCATGGGCCAAGAGCGCAGCAGTTCTGTAGCAGTCCATTTCCGGCTCCCTGAGCGGGATATCGATCATAGCTTGGCGCCGTCCGGAAGTGTGAATTGTAGTACTGAGTAGAGTGAGACCGTGAAATTATAGTCGTACTCAGCGTTGGCCGGGTGGGCCGGAGGAGTAGCCAATCAGAAAGAAGTGGGAGATAGGCGCAGGAGGGAAGTGGGGGGGGACAAACGTGCGGTGCTGTGAAGGGACCCTGGGTTGGATGTGAATATTTGTTAGTGGGCGGGATTGGCTGGACCATGTCGATTCGGAGCACTTTACTTGGCGAAGAGGGAGTGAACTTGGAGTGATCTCCCGCCTTGACTTCCCTCTTTCCCCTCTCTCTCTCTGCACATCACATTCAACAACTTCTCACTCCATCGATCGATCACAGGATTATCCCTCTAGGAACAACAACATTCCCCACCGGGGCTTATAGCCCACCCGCATACAATGGACCCACCTCTCCTCTCTCCTTCCTTCTCTTACAGACTACGACATCAAGACGACCCTATAGATCCTTACTACCACGACCCACCAGACGACTTCCCCCCTCCCTCACCATCTCCCTCTCCTTCTCCTTCTCCCTCACCATCTCTATCTGCCTCTGCCTTCCGATCTCGCTCCTCTTCCCCGCCCCCGCAGCACCGCCCCGTATCCCAAGATTACGCAGCAGCGAGGACTGCTTACCCCCAGCTGGCTCAGTTAACACACAGGCGCTTGCCAAGCTCAGACAACTCCAACAGCCATTCCCATCCCTATTCCCTAGACCAGCAAGCACAGGGACAGGGACAAGGGCAAGGACGTACGAGACTGGTCTCGGAGGAGGTGCATAGTAGACCCCTCCCTCATCCGCCGGTGAGGGCTGAGGAGCTGGAGTTTGAGAACGAGCAGAGGGAGGGGTGGAGGGGGGAGTACGGGGGAAGGGAGGAGCGCGATCCGCAGCAGCAGCAGCAGGAAGGGGAAAGGGAAAGGGAAAGAGGATACCTAGCCGACCTCGCAACCCAAGCTCAACCTCAACCTCAACCTCAACCCCAATCTCAAGTTCACGCATATTCCACTTCACCCGCTCAAGCAGCGTACCCCACCTACTCCCACTCCCACTCTCATTCGCCAAATCACTACCCCCCCAGCGGGCTCGAGCTCTCCCCCGCTCTGCTAGCGATCGACGACAAGAACTACCAGCGGGTGATGTTAGACCAGCGCAGGCGGAGGGCCCTGCAAGATCTGGACGAAGCTACTTTCTCGAAGTTTCATGTTAGGACGGTCTTGGTTGCTGGAGCTGGGTTTTTTACTGGTGCGTCTGCCTGCGCTTGCTTGCTGCATGCACGCGAGGGGGGAAGTACTGATTGGAGGTGTTATACGCCAGATGCATACGACATATTCGCCATCTCGGTAGGAGCGGTCATGCTCGGCCTGGTATACAACAACGGGCTCACATCGCTCGGCGCTGCCGCGGACTTGGGACTCAAAGTCGCCTGTCCCATTGGGAACCTGTTTGGTCAGACACTCTTTGGGTGGATGGCGGATGTGTATGGGAGGAAGAAGATGTACGGGATAGAGCTTGTCATCAGTCTGTTCCTTCCCCTCTCCTAGCTTTCGAGTCTCTCACCTATATGCGCACAGTCATCACCGCCACACTGGTGCAAGCCATGGCTGCCCAAGGCCCGAACACCTCGGTGACTATCACGGGCGTGCTCGTCTTCTGGAGGTTTGTGATGGGCGTCGGGATAGGCGGGGACTACCCGTTGAGCGCGATCATCACGAGCGAGTTTGCAGCTACCCGCATCCGGGGGCGGATGATGGTGCGTCCCCCCTTCCCCCAGCCCTTCCCTAACTAAGTAACTAACTAACACGCTACGCAGACAGCAGTCTTCGCCGCCCAAGGCTTTGGCACTCTATCAGCAACAGTAGTCGCCATCATCTGCGTCGCCGCTTTCCGTGACCGGATCCTCTCCACCGGTGCAGCAGGTGTCGACCCCTGCTGGCGTCTGCTCATAGGTCTGGGCTGTGTCCCCGCAGTATTCGCGCTCTATTTCCGGCTCTCCATCCCCGAGAGCCCGAGGTTCACCATGGACGTGGAGAGGAACGTGACTGCCGCTGCGAGGGAAAGTGAGCGATTTATGCGCACAGCAGGGTACAGAGATGAGCGGGACGTGTTCTCCACTGCCTTAAAGGCAGAAGCGCCCCGTATGAGCTGGCACGATTTTAGAACCTACTTTGGGCAGTGGAGGAATGGACGGATCCTACTCGGAACGGCCTATTCCTGGTTTGCGCTCGATATTGCGTTCTATGGACTGGGATTCAATTCCAGCTTGTTGTTGAACAAGATCGGATATGGTGCTAGTGGGAGCTGTGAGGTTGGCCAACTACCTACGTACGTCTTCCCTTGCGCACCGCGTTCAGAATCGAAAGATACGAACCCTAACTCTAACTCCTTCCAGGGACCTCGCAAACCAATGCATGTACAACACAGTCTGGTCCATCTCCCTCGGGTCCATAATCCTCGCCGCAGCAGGCCTGATCCCAGGGTTCATAGCCTCCTTCCTCCTGGTGGACGTTGTTGGCCGGCGCCCGCTCCAGCTAGCGGGGTTCGCGTTGATGACGTGTATATTGTGTGCGATGGGATTTGGGTATTGGGAACTGCAGCATGAGAGTACTTGGTTTGTGGTCTTGTTCTGCTTGGCGAACTTTATGGCGAATGGTATGTCCCCCCCCCCCCCCCCGCCTCCCGC